TAATGGAATTCATTAAAAAAAGCAAATCAAATGCACCAATAATGAGTTGAACCAAGCTAAAGACAACATACACAACAACATCATGCAACCTAGACATGCACAACTGAGATTTAACATACCAGAACTTTTTGCTGAATCGAAGTTCACAATTCTAAAATTCAAAGGAGACTTAGATCCGCAAGGCTACATATATTGGGAGAGCAAAGTCGACCTCCTGTTCTCTCACTACAATTGTCCCATGGAAGAATGAGTACTATTAATCACCTCATAGTTCCAAGGTTATGCTCTCACTTGGTAAAAGCAAACACGAAAGGTGATTGTTTCTGAATATCAGACATCATGTCTTGGACAAATCTTAAATGAGTAATAAGAAAGAATTTTACCTCAACAGACTACATTCGTTAACTTAAGCAACGATTCCATTGACTTCAACAAGGCAAGATTAGTAGAATATTATTATAAGGAGATGACATCCTTAATGAATCATGTAGACATACATGAAGCATAAGGATATACAATGAATAAATTTGCCACTTGCTTGTATCCAAACATCATTAATATTCTTTACTTACATAGTTATGAAAGCCTTGAAGATACACTGAAGAAAACAATGCCAATCGAATCACAACTTTAGAGGAAGTATCGTTTCAGAGACACTTACAAAGGTACTTTATCTATTTACTAAGGTACTTCATCTACTTACCAAGGTAATCCATCTACTTCTAATTCTTCTTATGCTCCACCTTCTACCAAGGATACTGAATCGGACAATGAAATCGAAGAATACAATGCTAGAATCATTGCAATAGAAAATATTGATCTTCAGTCACTTAGCCTTACACCACTGGAATCAAAAGATGTACTTGAAAGTTATGTGATGAAATTTTGTGAAGAGGGTGGGAAAACAAAAAGAAAAAGACACCGAAAAAGAAGTAAAAAAAGAGGCCACATCCCATAAAAGCCAAGAAAATGACCCATGGGAGGTGAGTGAACCTAATTGTGAGAAGAAAAGTATGACTCAAAATATGTGTGTGAGCACAAAAGAATTGAGAGAGAACATTCTTCACAAAAAGCCTTACATCCTTGTTCGCTTTACGAAATCTACTGTTTCGATTTCTAACATTAACAAGGGTTTGCCTAGTGTGCTTAATTTTCTCTTACAAGATTTTCAAGAAGTGTTAGGTGATCCACATGATGGATTACCATTGGAAATAAGGAAACAACATCAAATTGATCTAATTCATGGTTCTAACATACCTCATTGAATAAACAATTTCGGAGAAACCAGAGAGTTAGATTTTATACGAAAAGGTTACATCCAAGAAAACCTTAGTCATTGTGCCACCTCAGTGATGAAACATGAATTAAACCGCTTCACAGGTAAGTACGTTGTTACCTATGTTGATATTCTTATCTACTCTTTTCTTTTGAATAGATTCAAATACTTGAAGTTTGGCAACAAAACATACTAAAGGTTATCATCCATGGTAACCACAACTTTTTTAACTGGTTAAAAGACTGAGGTAAGAAAAACATAATAAAAGATACACTATCCAGAAGGTACACTCTCCTTTTAAAAGTGCTTTTAATGAGTTCTATTTTGTATATGAGTTTTCTTTTCCACTAAATAGGTTATGTATTCCATAAATCTCCTCACGAGAATTATCAATTCCTGAACCACATTTAGGAGACTTCATGGATTACTTTCAAGAATCACTTGACATGATTTTTAAACACTCATTATCACCACACACACAAGTAAAACCATGGGAGAACATATCAATCAATCACAAACAAAGCAAATAGTGGCCAACCCCATGCTGAATTTCAATCCATATGCCGAATTATAAGAATTGTGTGAAAAAGAGGATTTCAAGACAATAAAAAATCAGTTACAATAAGGAAGAAACCTCTACTAAAATGCATAAAGACACGTCACATTGATCAAAGTAAGTGTTTTACAATTTTTCTTTCATACACATCTAATTCTATTTCTCTTGGTTTTTTAGATTCGTGGATGAATCCTTTTGAGGAGAGGGGAAATGATATATTAGTCCATAATGATAATACCTGCTTTTTGGACTAATGTTTCTACTCAAACCTATTAGAAGAAAAAAGTCTTGAACATTCAAAGCATATATATTCGGTAAGTATAATTTGAGTAAATCATTAAAAGGGTCTAATGTTTCTCTCTTTGATGTTTCAGATTTGAGGTTGAATCATTCTGAAGAGAGGAATGATGATACATGCATCACAAGGCTCACATTAAAGGAAGATGGACTAACGCTTCCAATTGATCCACACAATCAAGCCTCGGAAAAGAAGAACAACAGAGCAGCAGACATACGACTGGTTTTTGAATGGGATCCTATTCTATTTTTCAACATATCTTCTAGAGTTACAATTGGTTTTTTTTAGCTTTCCAACGGTTCTTGAATCGCATCAATCCGATATCGGGAACTCAAGATACACTCATTTTAGTTAAGATAACGCATGCAGAAATTCATATATGGGATTAATACACGATTTTGTATATATTACGAATTTTCAATACTTTCATTGAGTATTTGTAATATAATTTAATATAGGATGATGCATTATATTTTAGTATTAGATTTATTATTTTATTAGGAATTAAGATAGAGTTAAAACAATTATCTTTAGTTTATTATTATTAGGAATTATGATAGTATGATTATTGTTATTGTTATTATTATTATTATTATTTTCAAGCATTAGTCATACTACAACAAGGACTCCTTCACCCTATATAAAGGAGGCTCCTCCCACTATTGTAAACACACATCTTTTCTTTGAATAATAATACAACGTGAGTACTTTTTTACAAGAGCTTATTTCCTTTTGCCTTTGAAACTTCTTTTTCTTTTAGTTCTTTTCAAATTCTTGAGATAAAGATCTTCACACTCCAGTTTGTGTTTCATTGTGATTAGGAGGGCTGGTTAGAGCAGTATTATTGAGTTTTCCTTTTCATTGTGACAAGAAGGGTTCGATAGGACAATTATCCATGTATCTTCATCTTCCACAAATCTATTATCATTTTTCCTCCATTATTGCCACCACCTCCATTGGCTAAGTTTAATCTTTCCATTACATATCTATGTTTTATCTTTATTTATTCTTATATTTACTTTATCAATATTTTTTATTATCCTTATTTTTCATTATCTTAATCGTTGTTTCATTGTTTCAATTTCCAATAACCCTAATCCAAATACCTACACTATTTACTACCACCCATAACATTTCATTTTTTCCCTCTCGCTCTTTGATAGAGTCTAGAGCTTTCTAAGTTTGATTCTTCAACGAAAAGCAATGTTCATCATCCGTTACCACATCTCTATCATCGGGTGTTTCAATCGCACTTTAAGAATAATTGGTGATGACTCTCATATATTTTATTATGTGAACTAGTCGACTTTTCCCTGGAAGGGCTGATTGTGACAGTGATATTACATTCCAGTAATGTTATTCCCAAATGTAATCTTACATTATGTAAACCAAATGCCCCTAAGTGTATTTTGGTAATTTTCATCTCATAGGACATTTTTTTTCATTCACTCATATGATTATTTAAAACACTCCCTCTTTTAAAAGTAATTCAAATATTTCATTAATAGAGGGTTTTCTAAATATTTTAACCCACAAGGATATTTTAGTCATTTTGAAACATAAAGACACTTTAATATTTTTCTTTGCTTGAGGACCCACTTGACACTTACATATTGGGATGAGAAACCCATTTATTTTAACATGAGAGTCTTATAATTTTCCATCAAGATTTTGGGCTTATAACATTATAATTTAGCGTTAATGGTAATTTAGTGATTTGTATTCGCTCTCTACTTTTTTCTTATTAAGGTAAAGTGATTATAAAATAGTATTTGTTATAAATACTCTCAACCATTTAACAATGTACGCTCAAAATCACCTTGCTGATCAGTCGTTGGTGCTGGAACCCTTGACCTCTAGGAACCCTTGACCTCTAGAATAACAACAATTTCTTTAACCACTTAGGTAAGTTGATTTGATGTGATCATTATGCACTCATATAATATGTAAAGAATCACAATTATGAAAACCATGAAACACTTCAAAATTTAAGGTTTACTAACCTTAACCTTCTAAATTCAGACTTACTATCTTTAAATCCAAGATGAACACAAATAGTCTTAATCACGACCATCCCCTAAAATAATTATCCTCACATTAAATTCATTCACCAATCGCATTTTGAAGACTTGCGAGACCAAAATAGCATTTAAATTACATAATTAGAGACAAAATTTAATATTGATCAAATTGAATTATGTATGCATGCATGCATGCGTCATCATTGCCAAACTAAAATTTATCTCTCTAAGAATATTGGGAAAAAAGAGAAACTAGATATACTTGACCTACTCCTTTGGTTAAACTTGAACCTTTTACCATACAAGAATTTAAGCTATCAAGAAATTTTCATTCATTTAATCAATTCCAATGGCATCAAGTACAACCAAATTTGAAATATAATTTGGATAACTGTATACAAATCATGGATAATTGTATACAAATCATAACAGTGAATACAATTAATAGCCTACTTTGTCAGTTCGTGAGCCAGTCCACCCTATTTGCAACCCGGGGCACATGTTTAAAACAAAAGGTTGGACTGCTTTGTAAAACAGATCTCGCTTGTTTGAGATAAAACCCTATTAGAAAGAGGTCATAGTCTTTGGATTTCAGCCTATTGACCACCGCAAACGAGTCACCCTCAAAGTTGATCAGACCCTAATCGTCCTCTTGGGCCATTTCTAATCCAGTTGTAAACGCAACAGTTTTCACCAGCTTCGTCGTGAAAGTTCCTTCCAACCGTCGTGCATGATTTCCACAACCATTCCATGGTAGTCTCGCGCTACCACTCCTATTGTTGCACCAGCGTTTGTAGGAAAAAAGGTCTCATCCACGTTAATCTTTATCCAATCGATGGTCGATTCACGTCACCGTTTGCCAATGATCACTGGTTGGGAGGGCAAAGGCAAATCAAAGTTGTTGACAACAGATCGGAAGTCAGCACTGATGAGCCATGCGAAGTCCATGATCTCCTGCACCGATTGGAGTTCCCCGGAGTGAATCAATTTATTTCTACAATTCCAGATATTCCACAAAGGCAACAAAGATTTGGTAAACATTTCATTAGAAAATGACAGGGTTTAGAATGATACTTTGAGGTCTATATGGACGTGGATATTCATAAGAAAATTATTACATGACTATCCGTTATGGATCACGTACGTTATCAATAGGAAAAGGTTCATATCCGGTTGCCACTTTTTTTTTTTCCTTTTGATGAAGGAGGGGAGAGGACTCATTTAGTGAAATAATTCAGGTAAAAAAATTAGAAAATGCAGGTGTTTTGAAAAATTATTTTAATATTTAGATTATTTGATATAATATATTTATAATTTGTTTCGTGGATATGACGAATTTCATAAAACATATTATAATTGTAACTTATCACATAAATATGACATATTTTATATAACATTTGTCCAATTAACAAGATGAGTTCTAATTTTTTTAAGTTATTTTATAAAACTCATCCTGTACATAATAAACTCTATAATGTACAATAACAAATAACTTATATCCCAAATTAATTACCATTCCCCTAAATTTTTTCTTACAATATTATCAACTTTTACTTGGGGAGGAAGTTATTTGAATTTAATATTAATTAAAAGTATAGTATTTTGTTAGTACACCAATTAGTTGTCAACTTTAAAATATTATGAAATTTTTAATTATTATTGAATTATTATTTTATATTTTAAAGTTTAAATGTAATATCAGATATAAATTATTATAACATTTGAATTTTTACCAAAAAAATAAGAATAAAACTAAGGGTAAACTATACGAGTGACCATTTAACTATAGTCCATTTTCAATTTGACCATCATTTTTGAATTTTTGTCAATGAGGTCATCCAATTATTTAAATCCATTCAATTAAGCCACTTTTCGTTAACATTTAATGGAAGTACTGACGTGGCATTTACTAAAATTGGTATAATAACACATTTGATCCTCAATATTTATACATTCTTTTAATTTGATCATAATTTTAATTGAATTTGATAAATTTAATCTCCAATTAGATGATGATATCTTAAGAATTAATATGCAATTTAGAGGTTCTGAATCAACAACTTGGAGTCTTCAAGAAGAGCCTGAACCACTAAATAAGCCCTTTACTTTGTAATACTTTACAACATTTCACTACTAGAAAAAACCTCTTTAATGACGCTCATTGCGCGTCATCTATGGGTGCGGATGACACACAAATGTACGTCGTTGAAGCCACCGACATAAATCTCAGATGACACGCAATTGTGTGTCATAAATCTATGACGGGCATTTATGACACGCATTTATGACACACATTTATGACACGCATTTATAACGCGCATTGAGTGTCATTGAAGCCCCCGTCATAAATAAAGATGACACATATTTGTGTGTCATAAATTAATGACACGCATGTATGACTTACATTACGTGTCATTGAAGCCCCCGTCATAAATGAAGATGACACATATTTGTGGGAATTTATCAGTATATGCACTCAGTTTCTTTCCCATAATTATTAGTATAAATAAAAGAAATTAAGCACATTTTAGTTAAACAGAATCAACATAACATAAGAAACATGATAATTGTGAGAATTTACAATGTAAAAGGACAAACCAACTTGTACCTGCAAATCAAAGAAAGCCATATGGCTTCAAATTAGATCGTCATTGTTCTTAGACTCTTGGAACATAGAAACATGGTCCAATATTTTACAATAAGAATATGATGGTTAAATAGAACATAACATGGTACCATTTAGCTTGAAGGATTTTGTTACTACATCAATTCTCATGTTTCTGGGAGTGAAGAAACCTAGAATCTTTCTTATCGTCCCCTCACTACATAACTCATAGACATAGTCTCCAAAGATAACATGTTCTGTACAAGCAAATTTTCTGCAACAAAGAAACAAAAGGAATAGTTAATGGAATACAGAAGCAAATACTGGGCTCGGACAAAGGCCTCTGTCTGTAAAAAATAATGCAGTTGGATGTTAACAAGATGTAAAAAAAGGTCCTAACTAGTAAAATACAAACTTTATTTTCATGGTACTTTGGGTTAACTTTGGGAACTCCAGGAACCACTTTATCAATTGTCATGCTCTCCAATCCAGCACCAATGCCTTAATTGAAGACCAAGATAAACCAGCATAAAGGTCACTCAAATATTCGAATATATCTGCCTCAGCATTCACACGCATATATATACACATATATGTATACACACCAGATGAGAGTGAATATCCTCACCAATATCATAATATCCTGCTTTTATAAAAGCAGCAACATCGGCAACCGCTTGTAGGCCAGATGAACACTGCCTGTTGACAGTTCTAATAGGCACCGTATCTGGTTGACGTAGGTAATTATATTAGCAATATGTTGTAGAAAAGGCAACTTTGAAGTCAATTCATGTCTTTCATTTATATCTCTGCTATCAACATGGTAAAAGGATTTGGTAATGACTGCAAATCTAGCACGCCAATACCAATAAAAAGATGAAATGGGAATTCAATAATTTTCAATGCAACAAACAGTTGAAAGCTCTAAAATTTCAACAAATTAAAAGGGGTTCAAGGGAAAGGAATTTGAAAGAATAGACGTATCAGGGAAACCAGCATAGTATGCTGCCATCATACACTCGATTCCTCTTTGCAAGCCAGGTGCCAAAACTGTACCGACAACTATATCAGAAACTTCACTTGGGTTCAGCTTAGTTCTATGTATCAAAGCCTACATTGAGAATTAACATAAGATAGGAGGGGAAGAAATTTGATGTCAAAGAAATTCAATACAAAAAATCAAAAGCAACATCTAACCTTCAAAACAGAGGCAATTAAATCATCTGCAAGTGTATCCTTGAAGCCTCCACGTTTTGCCTTGCATATTGCAGTGTGGCATGCCCTGTACAACAACGATTTTACTGCTCTTTGATGCAACATTAACAGAAGAAAATTGTTCCTTTTTTGGGTATAAAAACAGGGTATCCCCCAAGCCATATTGGAATTGAGACTATTCCTTCACATAGAGCGTTTTAAGTAAAAACCCACCAACATGTACACTACATGGACTTAGAACTTGTGCTCTCACCCTTACAAGGAATGAGACCACTATCACCTCATCCAACTACTTGTTGATACCATCTATACTTTACCTCTTTTCTAGACGGGTCAATTATGAACCAAATCTAGAACTCAAGTACTCAACCCATCCCTAAACAACTCAACCAAAACAATTAAACTCAAAATGACCCCCCACATGACATGTACCTAAGGTGATCCAAACTTGAAAAGATTCGAATCCGTATTGACTCAGCTCAAAAAATTCAGTCTCAAACCCATACAAGTTGAATCTAAAATGACCCAAGCTCGAAATTGAAACAAGCCTAAAATGACCTGAACAAATTAACCCGGGAATTCTTAACTAAAACTGACCCGATCTAAAATGATTGGACTCAACCAACCCGAGCTAGCTAATTGAAAGATCCACTCTATACACTTGATGCATTTTTTTATACAAAAGATTTCAAAAAATTAGACCAAGGGAAAACAAAAAAATTGTAAAACAACTTACGCCACAATCACAACATCATCTACGAAAGCAGCCGTCCGGTGATAAGCAACAGCAACCCCAGCCGCACAATTTGATGCTGATAAAATTAAAGGCAAAGCCATTATTTCAAAAAGAGAAGAGAAATAATTAAAAAATAACAAAATCTAAATACCAAGAATGAAGCTTACCGAGAGAGTAGCAGCAGATTGATGAGAAGAAGAGGGTCGTAATGATGAAGCAAAACTTTCTGCCTGTAGAGTGCTTTCTCCCTATCGATTAAACAAGCAACAAATCTCGATTCAATTTCAATCATCAAACCCATTAAATCAAATAATATAGAAATCAACAAAACCCCAAATGTTAAATAAAGAACGATGAATACCTGTGAAAACCCTTGAATTTTGACTCCCTCGTATGCGTTGTGGTGAATGGCCAAAACAATGGAAGGTTGCAAAGAGAAAAAGAAAAACTGAAGGAAGCATGCGCGTGAACTTTGTTATCGAGGGGAGAAGAAGAGGGAAATGATGAAAATAATGGAAAAAATTAAAATACGACTTTTACAGATGACACACAATTAAAACTGTACTTCGTGTTTTTACAAATTTTTTGGATTATAACTATTAAATATGACACACATTATTGTAAGTCATAAATTGTTCAGATTTTAAAAAACATGACATTTTTTGCAATCATAAATTAACGTATATCATCGTTCGTGTGTCATTAAAATATATTTTCTTGTAGTATTTTATATATTTGGTTTCCAGCTCAGTATCAGCATTTGCACCAGAGCTTCCTGAACTTCTATTGGCATCGCCGTTGAAAGGACCAACAAACTGGCAAAATGTTCTAACAATTAACAAAGCATTAACATCAACAATAAAATTGTACAACTCTCCATTATGTAACAATACCAATACCAGAAACTTGTTTACATGAAAACTAGAAAGAAATTAAGTGCAGATGCAATTCATCCCTTTGAACTCTCTTTTGTAAAAGAGTAACTGCAGAAATTCGAAGGTTATATACACTCTACATGATCAAAGGCACCCAAGTTTCACTTGAACATATATTCATTATTTAAGCAACCAACAACCATCGATTGTAGCACTCGGAACTTTAAGTGCTTCCTGTTTGATTCTTTCTACCATTGAATGCCCAAGCTTTGTCTTTCCTGTTTTCGAATCCCATTCAAAAATTTCCGGACTTGATTAAATGAAATCAACAATTAGCAATGCCTTGAATAGGAAGGATATATCATAACCGGGATGAAAAGACAAGATCTTTGAGAAGATAGACATGGCTTCTTTCATGGCGCTCATCTCCCTCTCTTATAACAGGAGAAGCGAAAATATCAAAACCCAATTTCCAAAGCTTGGGGAGGGGAGGGGAGGGGAGGGGAGAGAAAATGAAAAAATATAAAAAATAATTAAAATTGATAAAATATATATAGCATTGACATGTGTCACCATCTAATCATATATTAATTTTATTAAATTATTAAAATTATGACCAATTTAAAAATGTATAAATATTAAAGATCAACTGTTTAATTATACCAATTTTATTAACTGTCATATCAACACTCCCGTTAAATGTTACGGCAAGTGGCCTAATTGAATGTATTTAAATAGTTGGTTGACCTAATTGAAAAAAATCAAAAATGGTAGTCAAAATGAAAATGTGCTATAGTTAGGTGGTAACTGGTATAGCTTACCCTAAAATTAAGGGTAAACTACGCCACATATCACCGAACTTTAGTGTTGTATTGTTTATATTATTGAACTTTCAATTTTATCAATTATAGCACTGAACTTTGATTTTCGTTTCAGTTATACTATTGTGTTGTTAAATCGTTAGCACCAAGATCAAAACAACATCATTTTGAAGAGGTGTCTATATTGGCAATTGTCATCCATGTCGACACCCATTAGCGATGTCATCGTCCCGTTAACGATATAACGGTTAAATTGTATAATTAAAACGAAAATCAAAGTTCAATACTATAATAGACAAAATTAAAAATTTAATGATATATATGAAACAACGGTTAAATTTTGATGGTATTTGATGTAGTTTACCTTAAAATTAAATAAAGGAAAATTCCTCTTACAGGCAGTAGCAAAGCTGAGTGAAATTTCAGTTTCAATACATAAATATATATCTAAAACGGACCTTCTGGTAACTTAGCCTAGTAGAAATTTTCTCGAAACCATCTGAAAGACTGAAACTAGACTTCCGACGATCCACACGTATAATGATTGTAGAAAAAAAATACGAGACGGTTTCTTTGTCTGGCCAAACAACATTAGCATTTTCTGTTATTTTCCTTTTCGACAAACAATGGACGCCTTCTCTGATTCTCAATCGAGAAGCTACGGTACTCTGAAGAGTTTCCACCAGATTTCTCCCATCGTTCAGACTCATCTTAAAAGGGTATCTTCCCGTCCTTTCCCTTCGATTTTATGTTCTTAAGTCTTAACTTCCTATGATTCTAATGTTTTATTATGATTTTATCTTTTTCGAATCTTCCGATAAATTTGTCTATTTTCTTTTTTCATTTTATTTTATTTTCTTTTCCGGTCGTCTTATGTGTAGCACAATTACAAACATAACAAATGTTATTATAGTCGTCGTGGGAATTGTGGTTGTGTTTTTTTTTGAAGAAATTAGAATATTGCAACAATAGCATAAATAACAGCCTGCTATATCAGCAATTGACATCTTCCCTTTAAATTGCAATCGTGATCCATCGTTATTGATGTGGTTTCAAAAGTCACTACTATAGTGGTGGCTATTCTGCTTGTAACATCATAATTCAATTCAACCCGAAGGTCATTGAATTTAGATGTCATACGGAACCATGTGAGTGACTAACCTCTTTTTAAAACGTTTCATGAAGGTACCATCCATAAAATTTAATTATCAAACAAATATGAAATATAAGTGTTTAATACGGGGGAGCTCCCGACATAAGTCCCAAAATATATCATTAATTTAAAATACAGAGTTTACAACTCAAGATACAAATAAGGGTCTATGACAGTACATACCCTCTAAAACTCTCGAAAAATACTATGAAGAGGTCGAGTGACTCGAGTCTGGAATCCAAGTCTAACGAAGAGCTCCTCAGCTGGCACCTATTGGCATGCGTAAGGAAACACATTCCATACACTGAGCTCACAAGTCAGTGCCACAAAAAAATAACCAAGCTATACAACATGCATCCAATATATATAAGCATGATACAATATAGTCATGAGCAATGCAAAACTCAAGGAAACAGTAGTATCATAGTGTAGTTCGGGTCAAATAACATCACGAAACTCACACCAATCTTTACTTACAACACTTAAGGAAGACCTGGGTCACACATCAGTGTCTCCATAACACTAGGGTCAAGTCTGGGTCACGAAGCATCGACACTTGCCCGGCTAGCCTACTCTTCAAGAGTACTCGGATGTGCTCGGGTCACGTAGCATCGACACGACATCCAACTAGCATTTTAAGTGCCCAAGCACTAGATTGGATATATCCAGATATTTTACATACACGTAACACTCACGTTGTTAAGTGACTCAAGTGTTCTCGTCATTTCCTCGAATATCAAACAAGGCTAGTTTTATGTCACTTTATTTCATAGCGTTATTAGTCGAGCTTTATCATTATCATTAGTTTTGGATTTAAGGTTTAAGTAATTAGGTAAATCGATCAATTGACCAAACTAAACTCATTCAAACATGCTGAGGCCAAGACAACATTTCATAACACTTTAGGCTTCTATTGAATGAAATTCTACCTTTTTCCATCGGCAAAACAACGAAGGGATCGAAACTTTATTTAGAGGGATCGATTTTTTCGCCGAGGGATCAATCCTTTTGAAAAGGGATTGATCCTATGCACAACATAAAGTTTGGGATCGATCCTTTTGGTCGAGGGATCAATCCTTTTTCCTTAGGGATCGATTCTTTTGAAAAGGGATAAATCTTTTGCTGGACAGGAACTTTGGGATCGATCCCTTTGGTCGAGGGATCGATCATTTTTCTGGGAATGACTTACTTAAGCTACGGAAAAAGCCAAAAATCAACCCAACAATTCCCATAAGACAAGAAAACATGCTTAACGTCTTATTTAGTGTCTTAGAGGTCTAAAGGTACTAATTTTCGTGCTTGCAACACACAAATACGAATCTTGCCATGGAAATTACTCTAGCATGCTTCATGAACTAAACAAACCATAATGCACATACAATGAACTACATGTGGTATGGACAAGTCAGAATCGTGTTACCTCACTCCTAAGAGTTGTAAAAACAACCTCAAAATCACCTAAGCACTTCATTCTCCTTGTCTTTGCCCTTAGAGCTTTCACATTCTTCTCTCACTAGAACACATCAAAGAAATGCGTTATAAACTCATTTAAGGATCTAAGAAGGTTAAAAATAGGGTCTTTAAGCTTCCAAAATGGATTTGGAGTCTTAAGGGGTTCTAGAACTCAAAATCCCACTCAACTCTCACTCAAGCTTCCATGGACGAACTATCAAGTTAAAAGCTCAAAATGAAGCTCTTGGAGAGGTGATTTCAGATCTTACCTTCACAATTTCAGAGTGAAGATGTTGAGCAACAAGTTCCCACCTTTAACTTGGGCTCAAGGAGAAGAATGAGAGTTTGAAAGGGAGGAAGAAGACAAGTTGGAAGATGATTACAAAGGGAAATGAAAAAGAGGAATGAGAGAGTATGGCCGATTACATCACCAACCTTAAATGATATTCAACCTTTGAAATAGTTTTGGGGTTAATTACACTCCTAGTCCCTCTCCTATGCTACTTAACTAAAAAACACCTTTTTAAGCCTTGTTGGGCTCAAGCCCAAACAAAAACTTAAACATCTACTAGCCTAACACTCTTGAATGGTTCTTTAGCCCATTCACACTCATTCGGTTTTACCCAAAACTACTAACCTAAAAATCGGGGTGTTACAACTCTCCACTTCTTAAAAAGAATTTCGTCCTCGAAATTTACATGAGAAGAATAGATGTGGAAACTAGAGTTGCATGTCCTCTTCGGTCTCCTATGTAGCTTCTTCGACTCCATGGTTCCTCCATAGAACCTTCATCAAGGGAATCTACTTGTTCATCAAGTCTTCAACCTCTCGATCTAAGATCCGTATTGATTCTTCCTCATAAGTCATTTTTAGACTTACCTCGATCTGTTCCAAAGGAATAACGTGGGATGGGTACGAACAATATCTCCTAAGCATCGACATATGAAAAACGTTGTGGAAGCGCTCCATCTCCGGCGGCAAAGCCAAACGATAGACTATAGGTCCAACCATATCGAGAGTCTTATACGATCCAATAAAACGTCGAGCTAGTTTCCCTTTCCGGTCAAACCGTAGTACTCTTTTCCACGGTGATACTTTAAGAAAAACCTTATCACTGACCTCGAACACAATATCCTTTCGCTTCAAGTCTGCATACGATCTTTGTCGGTCGAAGTCCTCCTTCAATCGTCATTGAATCAGTCGAACCTTCTCTTCTACCTCACAGATCAGATCAGGCCCAACTAGCTTCCTATCATCGAGTTCTGTCAAACTCAAGGGTGTCCATCTTGTTCGACCTAAATGTCGACATCACAGAGGAACCCTCATCTCCACCAGAAGAACCTCTTCGTGAGTCATGTGCGGATGATGCTGAGATTTGTTGAGCCAGAATCACCACATTTCAACATGAACTCCGATGATGATGATATAGATGAAGTTCTCACAACGGTACACACCAAACCTCCCACATACATGTATGAAACTGACTATGGTTCAATGTATGGGTCATAATTTATGGATATACCTAATATTGGTGACTACAGATTTAACTTATTAGTCAATGATGGTGAGTTATATATCGAAATGGAGTTTCCATTGAAAGAAGAAGTGATGACTGCAATTAAGAATTACAACATTCGTAATTTTGTTCACTCCAGAGTTGATCGATCTACCACCGAAAAGTATGTTTGCTATGTCTCCAACGTGATAAGGGATGCAACTTGATGGTTCGTGTATTGAAGACTGTCATATGAGGCGGAGATGGAGCACTTGTGGTGTTGATTTTAGCTATATAGTCTCAATATAGGTACACTGTCTCCTACAAGAAAGTATGGAAGACAAAGGAGAATGTCATTAAGAAACTTCACGGTGAGTGGGATTCATCTTACAACAAACAACCAAGTTGATTTAGGATAGTGCACGGACTGAATACTGGACAATAGTCGACTTCGAAACTTGCCATGCATACCACAATTATCGAGTATTTTGCGATCGATGTAAATTCTATCGGCTTTTTTGGACTTACCCACAATACATTAATACTATAAAATACTGTAAGCATGTGGTCCAAATTAATGAGACATTCTTGTATGGAAAATACAAGTAAGATCTACTATTGACAATTGTCAAGTTGGTAATCGCAACATTCTTCTAGTTGTTTTTTCACTTGTTGAAGGAGAAGATACAGATTCTTGGATTTTTCTCTAAAAAACTTACACTTACATGTTGTCACGAGGAAAAAATTTGTGTCATTTCAGATCGCGGTGGAAACAATCAACCTATGTCCAACATCAGTACTGTATCTGACATATTGTCGAGAATTATCATGAAAAGTTCAAGAAGAATGATAGATGCTAATAACTGTAAAACATAAAAAAATTTAGCACAATAAAATATAATAAAATAATACACTATTTAATGATTATAATATATAAAAATGATTTTACCCTCTAAAAACAATAACATAACTCACTTGAAGGTTGTTAGAAGAATGATAAAAGTAAAAGGAGAATATTTTTTTGATGGTTTGAGAATTATTGAGGTGATTTTTATAGGGGAGGAGTAGTATAATTAAGGAGAAGACGAACGGTTAGGGATAATTATGGAAGGCGGGGATGGTGATTTGCACTTCCATTGAATGTTAGTTTTCCAGAAGTACGTATGGTGATCTGCGCTTTGCTCGTATGGCGTCAGCGCAGAAGAAAACTCAAGAAATACACGTTTGGTGATTTGCGTCTTTCTTCCATATTAACAAATGAGTGTTAGATAATATTTGATCAATGGGTACGTAACAAGTAATAGTTGATTATTTGAGTTTTTTTTTTTTTTTTTTTTTGATAAAAACGCCTTCAATGCCCTGCTACCTGTCTAACTAGTGGTCCCGAGCAGCCTCATCAGAGCGCCACACCAGCAATCAGTGGTCCCTCTTTCCTTAAAGGAGCTTGAGCACTGCCACGTTATCCTTTGAAGGATCCATCAGCAACATAGAGACAAAAGAAATCAAATGGAACAGGGATAGTTAATATAAAAACCCCAAAAGAAACCATTGAAAAGGAACAGGGGGCTTTTCCATGTTGAAAGGAAAGAAAACAGTACCAAACAATGAACATTTTGCCTTTGTTTTCTATCTTTTCCATTTTTTTTCGAATTACAGACAAGAAGCAATACGAAAATCGATTCTCATTTTCTGAGAAACAAAAGCAATACCAAACAGTCAGCTTTTTCAAAGGTATTTGGGTACCCTTTTTAGCAACAATATCGATAAAAAAATTATAGTAGGAAGAGAGGAGGTAGTTCGTTACCTGGTTTGATTCGACTCGTTGCCGGAGTCGAGAATATCATGGTCGTTGAATTGAACGGTCGGTGGTCTTACGGTCGTCGGGGGTTGATAAATAGAGGGGTCAGGGATAGTTTGCTCCAAATAGGGGTTGTTTGTTTTCGAATCTTAAATTAGCGGAAGAAATCAGAGACTTTAGTTTGTTTTTGGAAGGGTCTGGCTTTTCCGACCATCGTCGTGGTGGCAGGAGATGAATGTCTTCGAATTACGGCCAATAAGAGTGACCTAGGGTTTGTGAGACCGTCGTTTGAGTTGGGAGACTGAGAAGCAAGAGACTAAGCTTTTAGTTTGATCTAGGTGTTGGCTCTCGTCTGCACCTGGCGTTGGTCAGCGGCGTTATCTTGAAAATATTGGTGGTTCACGGCCATAAGAATAAAAGTGAGATTTGGGAGAGATTTTACAATGTGAGGACTGAGGACAGTGCTTTAGGTTAGAATAATTAGCTTGAATTAACAAAGTTTGGCTTATAGCTAATGTTTGGGTTATTCACCTTTAAATCCCAAACTTCTAGTATTTGATGTTTTAGTCACAGTAGTATTTGATGTTTTAGTGACATGTTTTCTCATTTTATTTATTTTCGATTATGATGTTCTGATTTTCATACTTTTCATTTTAATCACTTACTGTTCATTTAATTCACTTGTATTTTTATTCGATTCGATCTTGTGGTGACCCAATCCTGGATACGACCCACATTATTATGATTCATACCCTTTTATTATTTTATCTATTAACTTTTCTAACTTTTAACTACTTTTTTAACTTCTAACTACTAACCACTAACTTTTATTTTTATGCATTCAAATTAATCGTTCGACCTCACGGTGACCCATCCCGGGATACGATCCGCATTATTACGTTCCAGGTTAAAATGTTGATTCTATTAATCGCTAACTACTGAATTTTATTTTACTTTATATGTTACTAATCTGACTTCTATTTTTTCGTATTCAAACCATTGTACGACCTTGCAGTGACTCGTCCTGGGGTATGACCCGCCTTATTACGATTCGGGTTAAAAATTAAAATATTAGTTTCTTAACCTTATTTCCCTTGTTATTTACATTCATGTATTTTAATTTTCAGTTTTTTTATTATTCTGCCATTTTATTTTCAGTATTTATATTTCAATCCTTTTAAATTCCAACATTTACTTTTCTATTTGTTTTTAAATTGACCTTCATAGTCTGTTTTATTTCATTTTAGTCTTTCGTGCTATTTATGAGTTTTATCTCATTTCCATTACATGTGATTTACTTTATTTGCATGATTAGTTTCTATACTTTTTTCTATTTTATTTTAGTCACCTTTGGATGTGGATTTAGTTTCTGTTATTTATTAATTTTTATTTTTAGTCTCCCATATTATTAATGGTTTTAATGCATGAAAACCCCCATAATTTCCCATCAATGTAGATTCGACCTTTAATTTAGATTTTTAAACTTTTATGAATTTGGCCCATGTTTTCTCATTTTATTATTTTGGCCCTCGTACTATTATGTGTATAATATAAGACCGCTTATTGTTGTTTAAAATGGTAGAATACCATCTATCATCGCTAAGCTTATTTTTCACTCATACGAATTTTCAAGAACGCCTTTTGTAGACCGCGCATGAAAATTGCAACTTGTTAAAAGTAGCACAATTTAATTCGATATTCGAACGAAAAGCAAAATTGAAAATAATCAAGTATGCTTTTGATAAAAAATGAAATAATAAAATGAAATCGTCATTGTTTTAAAATAATGACAATATGTTTTTTAGTATGTTGTTGAGTTTATTTATTTTATATTCGATTCATGTTTAATATGAGGTTTTAACAAATAACTCGAAATGAATTGACCAATTTTTAGTAAAAGGATTATATTTAAATTTCGATTCAAATCTATAAATTCCACTATTACGACAAAGTATAAGCGATCATGTACAATTTTGGGCGTTGTGAGGATGTTAATCTTTCCCCACGCGTAACCGACTCCCGAGCCCTTAAAAAACAAATCTTTGGTTAACGCATACTAACTTTCGTCTTTAAAATGATTTTTCTTAAAAAATTTAAAAGACATTTTAGATATTCGACCTACCAAACCCAAAGGTCGATTGAGACTTTAGATTAAATCGGTTTCAAAACCCATCATCTTTTCATAAAATTCAATACTAAATTTTAACCTTGTTTAAAAAATGGTGTCGACACATATCAAATTAAATATTTAAAATTTTTTGACATTTTATTCGAAATGAAACACAAACAACTTATTCACTGGATAAATGGATTCCATGCAACTCTATTTTATTTATAAATTCACATAGGTCTAAATACCAAGTAATTGGTGAAGCTAAAACTTTATACCCAACCCTTATCTTGTATACTTCGGAGTGACGCAAGCTCTAACACTCTCAATCTTATCTCGTATCTTGATATCACTTACACTTGTGTCAAAAATATAGAATATTATTTTCTAGTCATGTCTTTCATATCTAAGGGCTTCAAAATGAATAAATTATCCGTTAATCCAAGTTTTTCATAAGTAAGTTGTTGTTTGATACATAGCATATATAATATAACTTTAAAAGCATATTTTTGAAACATAATTATATTGGTTGCCATGTTCAACCTCAATTTGATAGTAAGATACACCTCACTTGTCTCAAAATCACTAAGTATTTCATACTTTTTAGAATAGTTTACTAAAACTTATACATCAAACCTAAAACTTCAGCATGTAAGATATATCATATCATGCTTGTAATCATACATATACATTCAACACTTAATGATACACATCTTAGGAAGAATGCACAACCACTCACTAATTCACTTCTTGGTCCAAGATGCTTGGAAATCAAACCCCAAACAATGC